TCTGTTACAATCTTTTTTTTTTTTTTTTTTTCAAAGACCTGGACCAAAACGACGTCGTTGTGGCCAGGTCTTTTTAAAAAAAAATTCATTGCAGCTAGTCCAAAACGACGGCGTTTTGGCCAGCGCGTTTTAAAAAAAAATTCGCTGGGCTGGTTCAAAACGACGCCGTTTTGGCCAGCCTGTTTTTTTAAAAAAAAATAGAAGCTGGGCCAAAACGACGCCGTTTTGGTCAGCTTCTTTTAAAAAAAAAACAGAACCTCTGTTCAGCTTCTTCTTCCTCAGATATGCAGCCTGCTCTTTCACCCATTCATGGGGTCACACACCAATTCAAAGGCACCTTCTACCTTGCGTTCATGTAGTCCTTAGGGTCGTTTGACCCCACTGTGGGTCAGTCCCTGACCCAGGCCCCACTCCCACCCCCAGCTGAACCCAACCCACCCCTCTCTCTGCAAATTCAAAAACCAACAAATTGAAAGAAAAAAATTTCATTGTTTTTGTTGTTTTGTACTTGAAGGTTTGCAACCAAATTTGATGGCTTTCGAATTCAACAAGATGGAGATGGTGGGTTGTAGCTGCTGGAGGTTCGACAGAAAGAGAGGCCAGGGCTCATATGGGTTGTCGACGACTGTGCGGAGGGTTGGGGCTGCTGGGTTTTAGGGCTAGAGGTGGGAGTGGGGCTTGGGTTGCGGCTGGAGGTTGGGGTGGTCTGAGTTTTATACAACCCATGTTTCTAAAATTGGTGTAACAGATTAAGGCATTGGCATGCACAGAAAGATTAATTGAATATTTGTTTTGTCTTGCTAAAAGTGGAAGATGTTGGATTGAGGAAGAGATGTGGCAAAGGTTGAAGTTGGTGGGGTAACAAATTCAGCACAGAATTTCAGGGGTGGAACTTGGGTCTACGAGAGAGGAAGAGAGAGGAAGAGTCGTTGTGGTTATGGTGGTGATGGCGACTGGGAAGGGATGATGGGGTTGGGGGAGGGGAATTGGGTTTTTTGTTTTGTTTTAAAGTATTATTTTTATTTTTAATAGTTAAATTAAGAATTTTAGAAGACAATTTTTAATTTTTAATGTTTTTTCTTCACACATGGCACTTAGTTTAGCCAAATAGTGGGTCCCATTGGTGCCACATCAGCTTTTTTAACAGAATTTTTAACAGACTTGACGGTGAGGGGCAAAGTGAGACACAAAACATCGGTCAGGGGCAAAGTGGGTCACTTTAACTTTAAGGGGGTAAAGTGAGAATTGACCAATGTTTCAGGAGGCACTGTAGAACTTAAGCCTAAATTCAATGGCTGACAACAACAAAAATATAGAAAATGACACCCATCGAAAGGAATCTCCTGTCTAAAATGTTGGGCTCCCTTTCATTATGTATGGGGTTAAATGTTAATGCAAAGCCCAAGAGAATGAGTTTAAACTCGCGACACAAGTCCTCGCAATTTGCCTTTGCCAACAGCAGCAGCTCCACCGACAACAACGCAGGGAATTACACTTTGATTTGTTTTATCAATTCTTTCGTGATTTGTTTCATTATCGTTAATCATTAATAATTTTTTTTGTTGATTCAAGAAAAAGTTGTGTATTGAGGCTAGGAATATACATGGAAAGATATCTATTTATATCCTTTCAATGAAATAAGGAATGCGATTTCATTTGATCCGGGAAAAGCCATCTTTTTCTCAACAATGTCTTTGTCATTTGATCCAATAGCGTTCCGTTAGATAGGATTGATAAATATTGACAACTCTCGAATGGAGTACTAGAACGGAAATCCATTAGATAATGAACTATTTGTTCTAAGCCATCTCTGGCGATGAATCAACAATTCAAAGTACCTTTCTTGCGTATTCTTGATAAACTAGCGTTTATATATAGATATAGGAAGACCAACATTGAAAGCTTTTTCGTTAGCAAAATCTCTTTCTACCGGGAGTTTTAAAATATTTTTTGTGTAGAGTAATGTTGAGTCTAAGAACACCATGCATTGATGGGTGATGGGGGCCCATATTGACTATCATGAGGTCTTTTCTTGTAGCTGGTATATTCATCGGTTTTTCCTCAAAATTCATTCTTTCATGAATTGCTGAAAACCAAAAAAAGTTCATTAAAATTCAAGATGTAATAGTCTTCAAAATGCTTCTTCAAATTAACGGGTTTTTGACTCCCGAATATCCAGCCCATCACACCTTCTTCTTCTTCTTCTTTACGATCCCAAAAATATATAGTACGGTTCGGCTTATCGTAGTCAAACATCAGTAGACACCCTCGGTGCACACCAAGTTCTGGATCGATCTTCCCAAAGACTCTGGATCCAATTCAATGCAAATGTTGTTCAATCTTCTTGTTGCTGTTGATCATCATGAATGGATCGTGTCATGTAGCACCAACCCAATACAGCATTCCATTGTAAGAAAATCTACCATCACTGGAAGCAAACTCTTCTGGAGATGATACAATTTCCTCCATTCAACAGTATCCGAAGAGAAGATCCCTGCAATGAATTCGTACCCTGATTTGTAATTGCTCAATCCCTACTATTACTACTACTAACACACCGTTAAAATCCAGGTGGGGGAGGAAGAGCAATCCATTGCCTGGTGTATTTATTGCAGATGTACTAATCACGTTGATGAAAACCCTCACATATCTCTTCTTTAAGGAGTGGATAAACAACAGAGTTAGGGGTTTGGACGACGATGACAATCTGTTAAAAATTCCTCTCCTTTGAAGCTTATCACCTTTTACTGCCGTTTGCTTATCACGTTGGACACATACAAAACGTTTAATGAAAAAAGCATCAGATATGAGAGTACTCTCAACGCTTGGACACACACTTTGTATCATAATGGGGATAATATGCGAATTCACTAACCTTCTGTACTGTAAACTGTATATATAGGTAGCAATATTTACCAACCCCGCTTAAGTTGAAGAACATTTAAAATTCACCAACTTTTGGATCTCCTATTTTGCTATTCCCCCAAGTCGTTCATTGCCTTCAAATTCATTGCAGCAGAGTAAAAATTGTTCTCACATACACAAACTCTAACATCGAAAAATTTTACATGCAAACTAAAGTTTAAGGAATGACGGAACAGGACGAACCAACACATTTTATTTTCATCTGGAAGGTGTACGGAATCAGGAAGGCATCAGTTCTTACCAAAAGACAAGTTAAACTTAAAAGAAGACCAAACTATGCGGGCAATCATATCCGCATCCTAAATCCCAGAAACAAAACAAAAAACCCAATATTTACAAGTTTATATCTCTTTCTATTAAATATTTTGGTGCATAGACTCTAAACATACTTCTTCAAACTTCTAAGACCTCAAGTCTCAATCTCTCGAGTAAACATTTTGCTTCATAAACACTGCTAAGACCTCAAGTAACACCAACAACAAGCAATTTATTACACTTAGAAACTCCACCAAATTAACCAAAGCTATAAAATGTT